AAAAACAACATTACCATTTTGCCAGTTTCTTGGATCCAAAGCTAAAGCTTCATCCTGGTAACTCCTCCATACATAGTCTACACATACCTTCATCAGCAAGTTCTGTTATCTCTACCTTCAATATGAGTGCCAAAATCCAAAGTCCCATGAGGTTTCCTCCTGTACCAAGTCAGGCCAAGCCACTCTCACATCTCACCTGAGCCACCACTGCCACGGCATCCTGACTGGTCTCTGCTTCCATCTTTTTTTCTCTCAGATGCTAAGACAGGATTCAGTACAACTGAGGGGGTGGTACCTTTCAAACACACATCACATGTCACATCCCTGTCAGAACCCCTCCACTGACTCCCATACCTCTTGGCCACCCCGGTGTCCAGCCAACGCCTAATGAAAGGTCTTGCATCTGCCCCTCTCTCTGCACGGGGCCCTCATTACTTCTATCTCTGTGGGTTTTGCACCTTTACGTCTGTATCAGTTACTTTTCCATAGCTGTCATAAAATATCATGACCAAAGGAAGAAAGAGGGTTCTTATTGGGCTATGGTTCCAGAGGGATAGAGTCCATCATGGGGGTGGGAGGGAGGCATATCATGGCAGCAAGAACAAAGCTGGCTGCTCACATTTTCATCCACACACAGGAAGCAGAGACCAAAGTGGGGTGAAGCTATAAAACCCTCAAAACCCATCCCCAGTGATGTAGTCCCTCCAGCAAGGATCCACCTCCTGAAAGTTACACAGCCTCCCCACATAGCATCACCAACTGGGTACCAAGTGTCAAATACATCAGCCTATGGGGACATTTCTCATTTAAAACACAACATTCTTCAGACTGCTCAAATAACCTCCTTTTAGAAAGGTTTCACTTGGCTAGTCTATCTAAAATAGCCTTGAGGGGCTGGAGAAATGGTTCAGTGGTTAAGAGCACTGGCTGCCCTTGCAGAGGACCTGTGTTTGGTTCCCAGCACCCACATGGCACTGGGTTTGATTCCCAGCACCCACCTAACAACTATTCTTGACTTCCATTCCAGGGGATCCAATGCCCTCTTCTGGCCTCCATAGACATTGCACAACATGGATGCACTTACATACATGCAGGCAAAACACTCACAAAACAAAACAAATAAATCAAAACCGAATATCCTTGACCTCTGAGATTCCCCAGTGCCTTGCCCTGCTTCATTTTTCTTCATAGCATTCAATGTGATCTGAGTTCTTTATGGTTTTCCTACTTGAATGAAAGTGTCAGGAAAGCAGAGCGGTTTTGTGTGTCATTCACTACTTATCCCAGACAATGAGAGCAGTACCCAGAGCATAACATACATTCAATAAGCAGTTGTTAGGTGCACAGATGAGCAGAGCCTTAATGAAATATTCAGAGAAAGTCTACTTTGTGCTGAGCTCTCAGACATAGCAAAAACATAACAAACTTGATCTATGTCTTCATGCCTGGTGAGATGCAGGTATTCATGTATACAAACATCCATAGATGTGATCTGTTACATGGGTGTGATGGTTGGTTTTATGTTTTAACCTGACTAGGCCATGGCACTGAACTTGAATTACTTTTCCTGCACCTCCAGCCTGGCAGCCCATCCTGTAGATTTTAGATTTTTCCAGTCTCCACCATCATATTAGCCAATTTTTTGACTCCCCTCATCCCACTTGCACACATACACACACACACACATTGATCTGATTCAAGGCAAAACTCATATGATGAGGAAATGCACCTTAGCAGCCCCTCCTAACTTAGTTTGGGAAGTCAGTGAATGTCCCTCAACAAAATAATATTTAAGTCAAGGCAGATGTTAGACAAAATAAAAATAAGGGGAACCCAGACTTCCAGGCAAGGGACTCTGTCCCTTCAGAAAAACAAGGGCAGCATTGAAAGACGTTGAGCTCCGGCTGGTGGACTTGCCTTGCATGAGAGGCGCAACCTAGATGTTTTATTTGGCAGGCCTTGCGCTATGAAAGTCAAGCACACTGTCACACCATCCGCCTCAGCAGAGGTCACAGTCAGCCTGATCCAAACGAAAACACTCTACATATTCATCCCTCCTGCTGGCAAAGTTCATGCCCTCCCCCTCTGCAGAGGCGTAATCAGTGAAGTCTGACACAACTCCAGGCTGCAGACACCCCAGAAAATAGCAAAGTCCTCCTGAGGAGAAACCTAATGCAGCCAGTCCAGTCAGCAGTCGCTCGCTCTGAAACCTGTCAGACGCCAGTGCTCCTTCAGGCTGTTGTTTTGACATTAGCTCGACACGTTCACATGTCGCCCTCATTGTGTGAACTCCTACTCAGTGTTTTGTAATAACAGCAAAGACATCAATATTTAAAAACAATCAAATGTATGTTTGGTTTAAATAAGCAGTGGAGTCACAATCACTGGAGAAAAGTCTTCCATGTGGATTTGCTCATTAAATGTACTTTTAATTAACCACTCATGTCAGACAGATCTCACCAGCATCAATTTACCACAAATGGTCAATAATCTAATGCATCAGAATCTTAGTTTTCTCTTTAAAAAAAGCCATAGTCTCATTGGCTTCCCCACCCGGTGTCTGGCTCCCATCATGACTTTAAACAGGATCTGGTTCCTTAGACAGAAGCCAGCAGACGAATATACTCACAACCACTCCAAAGGTGCAAATGCCTTCACAAACACCTTCTCCACGGAAGCAAACTGCTGAGCGCATTCACTGCATTTTCCCTCCTCTCCCAGGCAGCTGAAGATGAGAACCAACACTAGGTGCCTAGGGAAGTGGCTGGCAGCTCCCGTATCCAAAGCAGATTTCTTTGAAGCCCGGCATTTTGTTATCGAGGTATATTTCTTCTTCCTAAGACACTGATGAGTGAGGACGTGTCTAGAAATGTTTACACAGGCTGAACTCACTCACTAATTCTGAGTAAGACAGTTCAGCCCTACATTCTTTTCATGGCCTCACGGTTAGAAATGTAAACTAAATGGGGATAGTTAGAAAGTCAGATAAGCAACTAAGCTTGCTGGTTGCCTAAAAACAGACTTCAGACTTCAGCATTTTGGGTAGAACTTCCTGACTAGAATTACCCGAGGAGTTGGCATGCCCCCGCCGTTCATTCCCAAATTGGCTGATGTCCTAAAGCCCCCATGGAAAGGTCTCTGAAGGTATGATGTATCTCTCCAGTTATATAGAAAGATTTTTCCGCCCAGTCCAATTCTGGCATTCTTCAAAAATTGAGTAAAGGCAGTAACCAGCATCTGGGAGTTATATTTAGCATTTTGAAAGCTTAATTGAAAACATACATCTAACTAAAATAAACATAAATATGCACACCAGGTTTTCTATCATTTTTGCTTTGCTTAATTTCACAGCATTATATCAAATCAGTAACACTGTTTATCATATGTCAATCACAACTGATTGGCAGTTATCTCTAACTCATCTTAATAAACAAGGAAAACAAAGCAATTATTACTTGATGGATGTGATTCGATAAATAACGTGTGGAAGTATGAGGTCCCTGAGAGGAGAAAGCTGATTTTTAAGACCTTGTAGTGACAAGAATGACGAACTCTTGCCCTGAGCTGTGCTGTTGTGTCTGCTGCCTGCACGGTTTCCACAGACTCACTTCACTAAGTGAAGCAAGGAGAGCAGGTCCGAGCAAGGCTCCAGCTGAGCTGAACAAGTCCCTTTCTGGTCCCCACTTCTTCCTCCTGCCTGCCACCCCACACCACAAAATCAAAGTACAAGTGGCCTGGATATCACATTTCAGAGAATGCCATGGTCTTCTCTTCAGAGCCAAACACCGGAATCCTCATAGGTGTTCTCTGAAATGCACCTTCAGACAGGATGGAAGATGACGAGTCACCGACACAAGAAGCAGACGCTCCTGACTTTTCTTTGTGATGACTCTGCTAATAATCAGCAGCTGAATGGTGATGTCTCTGGACTGGAATCCAAGTCCCTCAAAGGTCTTAAATTCAGACTTATTGTTAGAGAGGCCAAACACACAGTGGCTGACTCACATGGAAATACTTAAGCTTGTAAGGCCAAGCATGGTTGTACATGCTTTTAATCCCAGAACTTGGGAAGCAGAGGCAAGTAGATCTCTGTGAGTTCAAAGCTATCCTGGCCTACATAGCAAGTTCCAGGTCAGCCAGGGCTACATAGTGAGACCCTGTCTCAAAAAGAGAAAAGAAAATGCTTGTTCCAATTTAGGCTAATCATGAGAATGAGCAGACCATCTTAAAGCTGACAATGAAATCATCAAGGGAATTTTAAAAGGATTGCCAAGAGTTTAAGGCCAGCTATGGCTACAAGTGAATTCCAGGCCAGCCTGGGCTATAGGCTAAGAACCTGCCTCAAAACACAAACAGACAACAATAGTTAAAATAGAAACCCTCGTGTGATAATAATAGGAGGTAGGAATTGGCTAGGCAGTTAGGGTAAAAAGACCCCAAAGAAAAGTGGCCAATTTCTTGGCTAAAAATTTTCCTTGGGCCTCTTAGCAACATACTCTGTTCCAAAGGCCAAAAATGTTAAAAGGATTTGGGAGCTTGTATCTAATCCTTAAAAAGTTTTAGGGTTACCTTTTCAGAGGGGAGAATGTTAAAGTAGCCAAAAGCCCCATAAAAATAAATAAATCAAAGAATAAGAAAGAGTACATGAAGTTATCAGAAAAAACTGGTGGGGCGATATGGGAAGAGTTGGAGGGGAGGGAGTGGGCATGAATTTGATCAAAACACCTTATATGCATGTATGAAATTCTCAATAAATTATTTTAAAAAAATAGAAACCTGCCTTTAATCCCAGCACTTGGGAGGCAGAGGCAGGAGGATCTCTGTGAGTTCAAGGCCAGCCTGGTCTACATAGTGAGTTCCAGGACAGCTGGGGCTACAGGGAGACCCTGTCTCAAAAAGACCAAAAAAAAAAATAGAAACCCTCATTTGTGTGGAGCCATAAATTATTGACATGATTTAATTGGTTTTTCATCCTAGGAATACTCTTTTCTGGATAGGAGCCAGTATCCAGGTGGACCTGGGAAATGGAACTGACTGATCCTCTTCAATTTGACGATGTTGAGTATGTGAGTATCTCTCAGAACCCTGGAGAAGGCCCTCAGGGAGGAGTCAAATGAACTGGGCTTGGGGAAGCATCTGTTGTCCTTTCCCCACCTGTATTGCTGCCACATGCACACAGAGCCCAGCCTTGGGGACTGATTTTGAATTTCTATAAGAGAAGTTGATGTAAGAATAAGAGGATCTGTTTTTGTGAATGAGAGCACTCTTATCCCAACTCCTCAGACCGCAGTCTGTGTGGTCAGTCAGGCCAGCGCCAGGGAGGATGGTCAGGATGGCATAGCAGACTTCACATAGGGCCACCAAGACCAGGCACTGTCAAGGTCCTCTGATGAGAAGACAAACCATCAGATACAGAGAAGAGCTTGAGGGCATTAGTTGGGGAAGCATTGAAATCCTTGGGGCTGGAGAGATGGCTCCGTGATTAAGAGCACTAGATACTCTTGCAGAGGACCCCGGTTCGGTTCCCAGCACCCACATAGAGGCAACAACTGTAACTGCAGCTCTAGGAGATGTGGTGCCCTCTTCTGACCTCTTCAAGCCTTGCATGCATGTGGTGCACCTACATACATGCAGGCAGAACGTTCATACACATAAAACATTTAAATTTCAAAAAGAAATTTACTTAACCTTAATTAAAAATTGCACGCAATGACTGTGTCTCCATAATTATGTAAATTAGCAAAAGTGTTAGGTGAGATGAGGTGGGCATTTGGGGTGGTATGACTGTAGACAGGCAGAAATATTTGAGAGCTAGTTGGTAAGCTGGTGGCTTACGTTTACCCTTTGTGAGCCAAAGCCTTTGTAGGAAACCCTTTTCCCTAGCTGTACTTGTAAACAGAGCACATTATCAGTAGCATCATCATTATCTTTAGTTAGCATGTATAGTTGCATCCTATTTTTTAGTATTTATTTTTTTCAGAGACTCAATAGTATGGCAATAAGTGCCTTTGAAATTGGCATATCAATTTCCTTTTGTGGCAATTTAGTTGCCTGGTAGCAAAGCTTGAATTTAAATAAAATAACTATGACTGTACATTGGGCCTGCCCATTAATGCCAAATGAATGCGCTGCTCTATCAGTAAATAGCAAATTCATTATAGAGTGTTACTCAAGCCCTTACAAATGAGCCACTTGATTCAGATCAGTCCTCCATCTCTCTGCCTGCCTTTGCGTGTCATCTACCTAGGAAGGTGATGCTTTGAAATCGTGTTAAGAATTTTAATCACAGATATTCTGTGCACATTGTGCAGACAGGAGGAAAGGGAGCTCCTGCCTCCCCAGACTCGTGCACAACCCCTGCAGTTTTCCTCACCTTAGATGATGTATTCAGGACTTCGATTCATTTTTCCATATTATAACCATCTCTTTCACAGCTGGGGTGACGGCAAGGAGCGAGAGTGTTAGATAGCTACAGGGAAAGCCATAATTTAAAGGTCAGAAACCTTTTAAAAGCAGTGTGCTGAGATTTGGGGTTCTTTTCTTCTGCTGCGTCCAGGAAAGGTTATACTGTGGCCACTGCTCTCTCTGCCCATCATACCTTGAAATCTGGCCCGAACTAGCTGAGTTCTGCTAAAGCTGAGCTGCTCACTCTGGCCCTCTAGCTATTGTCAGTCATTTAAAAATTGTTGAACACTAATGGGGATTATTTCATTTAATCCTTTCAGCAGCACTAAGAAAAACAGGCACTATTATTAGCCCCTACTTTACACAGGAGAAAATGGGGACCTAAAGAGCTTAAATAGCCACATCTGTGGTCCCACTGGCAATAAGTAGACGTTCGAACCCAAGTCTGCGTGCCTCCAAGCCTGAGTGCTTAACACGGCACTGATTCAGCTGCCCAGCCCCACCGACCAGAGGAGGGGGAGACGCAGGAGCTTGAAACCACTAGAATACCTTGCTGGTAGATTGCGCTAAAACGCAACTCTCTACCCAACGAGAACCTACAGAGGGCGCTTTCAGCAGAGCTTTAGGATTTGTGCCCGATTTGTGGGCTGGCTCCAAATCCTCCCTAGCTCTCGTGACAGACTGACTTTAATTACTTCCTTTTGTCTGTACAGTCCTTATAAAAACCCATGTGTTGTTATGGACTTAACAAAGGTAGTCATTTATTGGTTAGATTAAAAGATATAATAAAATGTGTGATAATGTTGTCAAATGCAGGTGCTGTTCCCCTATCCCACCTAGCCTTGCTGAGTCCGTATGACTGAGGATCAGTGTCTGCACCAGTTAGAATTCAGTCTTGTCTGTACACTGGTGACAGTCCATAGCTGTCACTGGTCTTCCATGAAATACTGCAGAGACACAAAGTGAAAGATTAGAAATTTTAAAACAACTTAACAGGGTCATTTTCTGTCTGTTGAATTTAAGGACCAAAATTTAAGCATTGCCAGAAATTCATTTTTATTCTATTTACAAAACCATCAATCTATGGGTGACTAGAATTAGAAACTTCTAGTCTTTCAACAAAGACATTTTGGGAAACACTGAAATTTATAACTGCAAAAAACAATATTTCACTAGAGAGATTCAGCATTTTAACAAAAAACACAGCCTAAGGGACTTGGAAGTGTACTTACCTCCTCCTCAACCACGCCTACTGGAACTGTAGCGTTTTCCTGTATGTTCTGTATTCTGTTGACTTCAAGTTGACCCTGACTCTTAAGAAAAGGCAGTGCTTCCCCGAAGACTGTCAATATTTAGCAAGAATAGCAGAGCACTGCAGTAGGCTTATGTGTGCCAGAATGAATTGTGGCTGTATTCATGGAGAACGCAGCTAGGGAAAAATTGCTAAGAGAGCTTTTTGGAGTTCCTATATTTAGTTACATAAGGTCATTTTCATGCAAGTATGTAATGTACTTTGCACATATCTCTCTGCTCCTGTGCCTCGCCTGCGATGGTTAATCTTGGTTTGCCCACTTGACAAAATCTGGAATAAACTGAAAACAAGTCCTTTGTCACTTAGTCCTGTGAGGGGTTTTCTTGATCAGGTTGTCTGAAGTGGGATCCACCCTAAATAAATGCCCAGCTCTGGGGAGGGAGACAGAAGAAGAAAGCGTTTCTTTTTTCCTGCTTGCCTTCACTCTTGATGGCAAGTTCGTCTATCAGGTGCAGCCACGAAGGTATTCCTTCCCTGATATTTCTTTGGGTTCCCAACATAGACTGAAGACCAGCAGCTCTCCAGGACCCTCCAGGTCATCAGCACCAAACCAGACCAGTTCAGACAACCAGCCTCATGACCTGAGCCTTGCCAGACACTACGGTGTAAGCCAACCTAATGGGTCCCCTTTTAATGGTCATTCTGTCGTCGAGAGAACCCTGACTTAACACTGCATTCTCCTCCTGGCACCCCGCCTTCCACTGCCCCCTTTGCCCCTCTAGTATGATTTTATGTATCTAAATAAAATCTAGGACCCAGAAATGAGAAAAAGAATGTGATATTTGTCTTTCTGAGACCAATCTAATTCACTTAATATGATGAGGAGGTTCACATCAGATATTTTTGAAACAACTGTCTTTGGCCATAGTGACTAATGAGCTTGATGGGTAAAGAATTGCAAGGCAGGTGTTCCTATGGAAGTAATTTTGGAATGGGGTGTGATAGCCACCATGCAAGCTGGTGGTCCTCTGGGATAGTCACTAACACTCTTACCTAAGATTTTTTTGTAACTTGCTGGTTTTATTTGTTTGTTGACCCAAGAGACTCCGTTTTGATTCTGGTAGTCTTCACAGCCTCCCAGTCTCAACTTGGCTTCTTTCCACACAGTGAGGATCTGAGGAGCAGCCACTCTGCTCCTTGTTTCCATCCAGCAGGTCCTCCAGAACCTCCTTCCCACCCTCCTGAGTGTCTCTCCTATCACTCAGGTCCCAGGCATGTGGACCAGGTTGGAACCTTAGTCCCAGACTTCCTCCACCTGCTACGACCGCTCTGTGGCACTTCCAGCATCGCCCTTGAAGAGGATGAGTTCTAGAACCCAGGTGTCAAATAAAGGACAGGACGGCTCTGCCGTAGCTATATCAACACCGTATAAGGCAGGAAGGAGGCCAGGTAACGCTCGCCCCTCATACTTCCTTGCCAAGGGCCATTTGCTGAGCAAAACAACCTTTCCTCTAGACGGGACAGTACAGAAATTCAAGTGCCTTTTCAGAGCATTTGGGTCCCGCCCTGCTTTTGACATTGTATGTTGACCAAGCAAAAGACTGACATGGCCAATGTAGAAGGTGAGAGTGGCGTTATGGTACCTGTCCTTTAATCTGAAAGTCATTGGAGGAAATCTGCTTCGTGAACCAAAAGAAACATTACCACCACCAGGCCAAACTTGTCCACCTCCAGAAGCCTTGCTCCTGAATGCTGGGCAGAGCACAGGAAGCTGAGCTGTCAGCACATAGACGCCTCTCTCTCCTGCTGACTCAAGCTGACAGGGCTAATATTCTGTGCCCAAAAGGCTGCTTGTCATTTGTCTTTGCATCAACAAAAGCAATGGATGAAACCAAAGGACTGACTGGGCCAGTAGAGCTGGAACAGTTTCTGGGAACCCTGACTTCTGACACAGCATCATCATAGGGGTGGGGGGAGAAAGGAAGGAAGGTGAGATGAGGAGTGTTCTAGTTTGTTTCTCCATTGCTATGACAAAGCACTCTGACCACTACTAACTTGAGGAGGAGAGGATTTATTTGTCTTACGTTTACTGGGTCACAGTACATCAGGGAGCCCAAGGTAGGAACTCAGGGCAGGAACCTGGAGGCAGGAGCTAGAGCACAGGCCATGAAGGAACTCTGCTTACTGGCTTGCTCCCCTGGCCGCTGCTCAGCCTGCTTTCTTATGCAACACAGGCCCACCTGCCCAGGGGTGGCACCACCCACAAGCACTCAACAATCAAGAAGATGCCCCACAGACATGGCCACAGGCCAGTCCATTGGAGGCAATTCCTCAACTGAGGCTCCTTCAACCCAGGTGTGTCAAGTTGACACTAAAGCTATCCAGCACAAGGAGGAAGGATGGCCTCTC